TTTTATCAACATGATAACTGAAATAGAACATTCGTACGAATACGCTAAAGAAGAGATAAATAAGATATACACAAGACGGGTATTGGGTGTGGGTGTGCGTGTAGGTAGATTCTGCATCTATTAGAATAAAAATAAATCGAAGATGCTTTCTATGAAATTTCACAGAAGAAGTCGATATAGTTTATGTGAAATTTCTCGTAGAAAGTCGATGTCGTTTCTATATACTCATGTATGCATCTAAAACAGTCATGAATACTAACTATTACATGATTTATGCATTTTTTGCTTTGGCATAAATTTATATTGAAAAAATTTTACGTCAAATATGTCATGATTAGTAAAATCAAACTTTTTTTCAAGAAAGTTAATTTTCTGAGAAAAATTTATGGATGTCTTGCCGAATTTTGAAGTCTCTTCTCCCTTCATCATCTTCTTGCTCTTAAAAAACAATCAAGAATTCTAGAAACCATAAAGAAATAATTACAATGATGAATTCAAAAAGAACACCGAAATCAATGAAAAAGATATGATAGGTATCATACAACCAACACATTTTATTTAACGTTATTATTCTTCATGTTAATCAATCACTTTGCATTATAATAATGTAATGATTTTATGAGTCAAACTATTAACTTTAATTAGTCCATCGGTAGGCATGATCTTTGTTTAGTTTTGAGGTTTCTCTTTTTTAATTATACTACCCAGTGAAAAATATTTGCTTCAAAGAACGGAAAAGAACGCATTCCGTAAAATTAAAAGCCCTTTTTTTAAGAAAAGAAAACGTTCCAACAAAACTGGAAAACGTTCTTAAATGGAACGTCCAAGAACGTTTTCCACATTCTTAAGGAATTATTCTCAATGCTAAAAGAAAAGTTTCCACTTTCTTTGAACGCGTTCTTGATCTTTCCCACTGAGAAAATGATAGATAACGGGTTCCACTATTTTATGAAAACGTTCTTCACCATCCCCAAAAAAGAATATTGAAAAACAAAAGATTTCACTGATTTTGGGGTATTTCCTTTCGTCATCATATCTCTAAATTTCTCAGCTTCCATCTCTTCCATCTTCGATCGGGTCTTCTTTTTAATTAACGTTTTAACTAGCTACCTCGTCATGGATTCGAACTCATGATCTACTGTTCACCAGACGAATATATTATCCACTGAACTATTTCTTCGATTTAAAATAAAGAGTAAAACTATTACTTATATTAAACGAAACAGCAGACAATCAACATTTTTCCTAGCCTTTTGCAAAACCGTATTTTTTTTACTAAGGAAAGAATTTATTGTGATTTTGACTATGATTTTCATTGTCTTCATGTGAAAAAATCTAGTATGAAAAAAAGTATGATTTAAGTTTTAACATATTTGTATTTAAAACTATCTGTACTTTGATATAAAAAATTAATTAATTTTAATTTTTTTTGACTTAATCATTTTGTTCATTTTATTTTTAGTTATCTCTGGATTTTAATTTGATCAAAATAAAAATTTTACTATTTTTATTTTTAAATATAACTGTATTTAGAAAATGAACTTATGTGAAAAAAAAATATTAGTATGGGAAAATAAAAATTTTTTATTTTTTAAAACATTAAGACTAAGAAGAAACTATAAATTATTTATTTATTTTTCAAAAAAAAAAGATACAAAAAGAATAAGGAAACAATTTATAATTCTCTTATGACTGAGTGCTGAATACAAAAATTACTTTTGAAAACATTTAACTATCAAATAAAGATCTTAGGCAAGCGTGCGATTTTATATTTTTTAGTTCATCGATGAATTTCCTTAATAAATATGTTTGGTTTGCTTCTGCTAATTTAATCTTTTTTTTAATTTGCAAAAAAAATTGTTGCAGGCGTTTTCTATTTTTCGAAGGTCAATTCTTAATCCACGAGAAAAAATCCGATAATTTTGATCACAGTACAGAACCCGTTCTTTTCTTTGTAAGAATGTGTTTCCTTATCTGGGAATGGGTTAAGTATTTTGAAGAATTCGTTCTTGCGTATCTCTTTAGAGAACGTCCAAGAATACTATCTAATTATGAAATAAATCTATCCAGACTGTTCTGAAAAACGAACGAAGCAAAATCCTTTCATTCGTTAGTGGAACCATTTAGAATGCTTTCTATCCAGAAAAAAAACAATTCCAAACGTAGAAGAAAGCGTTCCATGATATTATGGAATGGTGAAGAATACTTTCCTTTAGATATAGAGCATATTCTTGTCGACTTGGAACGCGTTCTCAAAGTTATAGAACGCTTTAGTGAAGGATAGGAGAGCTTTCCATGTTTCGATGAATGCGTTCACTCGCATTATTTTCCAAAAAATTTTTCACTGGGTATTTCTTCTTGTTGATCTTCAAAAACTGTCTTTGCACTCTTAATTACACAAATCAATTTAATCTTGAACTTTCGGAATTTACTGTAGCGAATGTAAATCAACGTTCTAAAGAGTATTTATTCATAACACTTTTCAAGAAAAAATGTCTTGCTACAGCAATATGTAGAAGCCATTAAATTATTCTGAATTTTAAAAATTCTTTTCAAGTTTTCAACTAGAAAATTAATTTTTTCAAATATTTACTTTGTAAATCAATCAATCGTTGAAATTCATTAATTGAATATTCGGGTGTGACTATAGATGTTGACGTGATGTATATTTCTTTCTGTAAAAACAGCATTATCTTTACACTTGTAAAAATCGAATCGATTAATTTTTTAGATTTCAAAAAATGCATCTATTTCTTTTAAAAATATTCTATAGTGATAGAACTGGAAATTAGCTTATGGATCTGCGATGAAGGACAACATTTTCATATTATGACAAAGAGAAATTTTCATAAAAAATTCAAAACTTGATCAAGCTTACTTTGATTCAAATAGTTATAAACTTAAATATTCAATTATAAAATCAAGTTATGTATAACATTGTTGAACATAGAAATACAACTATTGTTGTTTTCAAAACGCGATGGATGTGGTTGTTTTTTTGAAGAACTCTAGAATAGAAAGAGGTAGAAACCTGTGGTTTTCACCATTTGAAAGAAGAGACATCACAACGTCTTCTTCTCCGATGTTGCATAAGATGGAACCAATTTAAATCAACCGTTTCTATAAAATATCGAAAAAATGCAGAAAAATTATTTGCCGTTGAGACAAAATTTTAACAAAAAGTGATAAAATTTGCTTAAAAATGAGGAGAAATTCATATTTTTCGACCGAGTAAATAGAGAATTTTACTTACTTAACATTATCATGTGTGAAGATAATAATTCGCCTTACATCTTAAACTATAGATCTGAAGTTCCGCCATCGAAACCACATATGAAAACCAATATTCATCGCAAGGAAAGACAGTTTTCATGCAGTTTTTGAGATGTTTTAAAGAAATAATAAATTTTAAAACGATGCTCCGGTTTCATCTCTTTCGAACGGTGAAAACCGCAGCCTACTGCCTCTTTCCTTTCTAAAGTTATTCAAAAAATTGTCACACCCATAGCTTTTTGAAAACAACATTAGTAATTGTTTCTAACATACAATAATCTAAGTAGATAGTATAAGAAAAATTCAAAGTTCGACTTCAATATTTGTCTCGGTCTAGAGCTGCTCTTATTAATCTTCATCGGAAATCATATTGATTTTTGAATATTTCATATACATCGTAGTTTCTGGACAGATTAATTGTGATTAAAATAAAATGTCCTGTAGGAAAGCATAGGTGTCTTGCAAAAAGATAGAAAGGGTGTGGATGATTGTCTCATCTCCACTAAAACCCACGTACATCTGCACTCATACATCCACTCAAGATAGCCACCGTTCACACATACATCCTTCAATCTCATTTTTTTTCTTGAAAAAGTAAATATTTATGTAAGATGCTGACAAGGCAAAATTTCAATAAAAATTTTTTTTCTGCGTTTTTTTTTACACTATTTGATAGAGCTTGAGTTGGTGATCACGATGGTTGAGGTGTGGGTGGGTGTGGCAGTACGTTCTTCTTGAGCATCATCGAAACCTACACGCCACATCCGCACCCCAACATTCTTTATCAAAGATCCACCCCGAGTTGGCTACGACCTACGATAATCTTGGCGTCCTTCGTCACAAATAAAAACTCTACAAAACTGCCATTAGCTTTCATCACCGTGCTCTATCCATTCAACAGAAATCCCTACCACACAATCATTCTATAACAGCAACCACGAAACAATATTTAGACGACGCGTACTTCCGTTTAGGTAATCATCGAGCTGCAGTAAAGTATTACACAAATGCATTGAGCGTAGCCCAGACATGTTTTCCTGCTTCGCATCCTCTAGTAAAATAATGTACTGATAAGTTGAAACAAGCGTAGACAAAGTTGACAAAAAAAATCAATATGTTATTTATCAATAAAAATATATCGATACGCATTCACAAGTGATAATAACAAAATTGGCACTAGTTAGAACAATTACTTCCTAGGACACATGTTCGTTCAACAAATTTTGGTTTGAATAAACGGCTGTAGGTGTGGGTATAATTCTTCTCTTCATTCGAGCACACCTACACCCACACTTAGTTAAGATTAACAGATTGATTTGTCTTTGTTAAAACATGGATCAACCTGTTTTTGAATATATTTATCGCATCTACCCTAACCCTCAGTTTCTATACCAAAAAGGCCTACCTTTTGAAGACCTTTTACTATAATTGACAGACTTCCAAAATCAATCAATTTTCTATCTGTCATTTTTGCCTTCAAATTCATATTCACTTTTTAACGTTACTTTTCTGTATCCTTCTTTTCATATGGAACTTCGAGATTCTCCACGATAAATGATTGAAGCATGATCTTTAAATTAAATCCCTAACGATTATTGTAATGAACTCTTCTTGTTTATTGAAATATATAAAAGTTTGAAGAGAAAACATAATCTTCATCGGACACTGTTCAGTTTGTGTTCGAAAAAACTTAGTTATTAGTTTTAGTTGGTAGAAACAAATATAAATTAATATGAACCAAAAGGACTACGTATATCAAGAGTTTTCTTCCACATTATTAACGCTTTTAAATGATCGTTAAGAAATAAATAAAGGAGTGCAATATTATCAAATAGCCTTGGCAGCCTTCGAAGAAACAAACCCCATGATGGTGATTCTTCGAGAAATAATTCTTTTGCCTCTAAAAGATTCTTCAAGGTTTCATGAAAATCACCTTTTTTTATAAGACATAAACCGATTTTATATAATAAATCAGCACGTTGTCTTGGTGTAAGGTTACTAAGATTCTCTAATTGACTTCTACATTTTAATAATTTCGGATCATCTAATGTTTCTGTTGATATATGATACTGGCTTTGATCGATATGTTTTTCTTGTTCTTTGTAGACAAAAGCGTCTTCAAAATTTCTCTTTTTGCTAAGTATACCGATGATATTTTGATAAATATTTGGTAAAGAAGGAATATCTTGATAATTTGCAATTTTCAATGATTCTTTATAACATGATAATGCAATGTCATCATTTTTAACTTTATTGTGAACATCACCAATATGATTATACAGTTCACTTGTTAATAAATCAGTTTCAGTTAAGAGTGACAAAACAATACCATAATGAATAAAGGCTTCATCGTATTTAGATAAATGAGAATAAAGATAACCAATGATTATATGAAGAACTTTCGATTCAGGACTGTCAATGGAAAACTTTCCTACGGACATTGCTTGCTCATAAAACTGAATAGCTCGCTCAAAGAAACCTAGATTACTAAATGAAAAAGCAATATAAAGGTATATCATAGTTGTAGTGTTATTCTTTAATGAAAATATTTGTCCTGTTAACATTGAATAATATCGATCGATCATATTAAAGTCATCCGTTTCTATAAATGAATGACACTTCATCAAGGGAAACTCGATGAACAATCCAAATTCTGAAGTCAGTTTTTCAATGTGTTTCAATACTTCGTCTTTTAATGTAAGTTCAATAAACCATGTTGATACATTTTCTTGTTTAACAGAATCAATAGAGAAGATAGTTCCAGCAAAGAATAAAATTTCTTTTTCTTCTGACATCGAACTAAAATGAGATATATCAATAAATTGTTTGGATACATAAGAAGTTTGATTTTGTATATTAATTTTAAAAATAACACCATGTGTAGCTCCAAAAATAAAAGAACGAGCGACTTCTTCATCACATGATGTTGACATAATTGTATTTATTGAAATCAAATGTCCAACGTTCGATTTCAACGTCGTAATGGTATGTTTATTAAGACTTTGTCCGCGATAAACAACTGAAGGACTTTGTTGTTGTTGTTTTGATAAATCTTGAAATTTTTTATATAACAAAATAATATAATATTGAAATTTACAAATTAATTCAATATTTCGTGTACGAAATGCTTTATTTAAAAGTCGATATAAAAACGAGTCTCTCGTATACCATTGTAATATATTGTCATCTGAACAATTTCGACCAAAATCATTGATCTTTTCGATTTCTCTTTGATCATGTTCGTATTCCAATCGACATTGGCTTAACATATCTTCCCGTAATTTGTCCATATCCATCGTTGAAGGTTTTACCATATAATAAAAAATCCACTGATTCCACAAGAATTGCAATGTATTTCCAAGTAAATTCGTTAAAGAGTGTTCAATTTTTATTTCATTTAAAGAAGAAAAACTTATTGGTAAGTCACTACGTGCTAATATTACATCTTTATGTAATCGATCTATCAATTGATCGATATTTTTGAATATACCAACTAATTTTGGATGATCTTTTTTTTCAAACTGAATGTTTTCATGTGTTTTTTCGAAAACATAAATCGATTGAATTTGAATCAAATTTTTATAATCTGGTAGGGATTCGAAATCTGTCAATATAAGAAGAATTTTTCGTTCACTTTTATAACGTTGTATATGTTTGAGAGCATCACTATTTGAATCAAATTTCTCTGAATGATCAACAACGTTTTTTAATTCATTCGGAGCGTCATCAGAATAAACCCAAACAACGATAAAATCAGCAGCATTTTGTACGTCATCTAATTTTGTTAATGATGAGCCAAAGTCATCTATCCTTTTCTTAAACGAGAACAAACACTTTCATCTTCAAGATCTTTTACTCTACCACAACTATCTAATCTCTGATAAAAACGAATATCATTGTTTTATAAGTCATTAATTCAATATTATAATTCTTTTATTTTATGATCATCGATCATATCTTCATGAATAATCGTGGTTCGGGATTGAAACTTTCTTCCTCGCTACCATTTCTTTGCAATAAAAACTCAAGTCAATATCCTCTTTTCTATGATGATTATGCGTACTATTGAAATATTTTAAAAAGTGTTTAAATTTGCAAAAGTGCCATGTAATTTAGGTGAAGATCAGTCGATATTTTTAGCTCTCTTGGGAAACATTTTTCAGATATATTAAGTTTTTTAAGGTGTCTTCTCTGCATGTGTCGAATCTGATTATTTGAGCAGATGAAGGATTCTAAACTATTATAAAATATTTCATACCAGTGTCCATAATATTGTTCAATCTCATTCATATAATCAAATCTCATTTTTTCCCTTTTTCTGCTCAACTGTAAGTTGAAGAGTATCATTTTCTATGCCAAAGCAATCTATCTTTTAAAGACCTTTTACTGTAATCGACAGACTTCTTAGATCAATCAATTTTTCATCTGTGCTTTTTCCTTCAAACTCATATTCACTTTCTAACGTTACTTTTCGGGTATTCCTCTTTTCATATTATAGTGTCGAAATTCTCTATGATAAATGATTGAAGCATGATCATTAAATTAAATTCCTAATGCTTATTGTGATGATATTTCTATGAACCAGAAGCAAACTCTTCATTATTACTATCAATAGAAAATGTTTCTTGTCTTTCACATAGCAAGATTTAATGCGGTACGAAGCACTCAAAGGGGAAAAAGCGAGACTCACTCTACTTCAAAAACAAATTGGAGTACAGCTGGAGTACGGGTGGAGTACAGCTGGAGTACAGTTGGAGTATAGCTAGAATCTACTCATACTACAGCTGCAGCACAGTTTGTGTACAATTATACCGTAGTGGAAGTAGAGCTTGCACTTTAACTCTAAACTTTTTAAAGTTAAACTATACATTTTCCTATGAAATAAAACTTTTTTTAGAAATTTATAAAACTAAATAAACATTTATAAAAGTACCTACAACTCTCAATAGTTAGCATATTGGAGCTATCTATAGGTGGTACTATGTAAAGAGCATATTCATAGGTCATTCACTACGATTTAGCGATGCTATCCATAATTTATCAGTTGTAATATAAGAGGGACAGTTTTAAATAGCTCTAGGACTAATATATAACTCGTTACTTATCGACTATCTGCTACCATATAATTGGAATATCGATAAACTTTCAATGCTGATAGAAAGTGCATATTCATTAACATCCGCGACGCATGTTGTCGAGATGCCCAAAATTGGTCGGAT